GCATAATCAAGTCTCCTCAAACTTTGGGAGGCTGGGACTTGGAAGGATGGGTCTCTAAAATGCGTCACCTGGCATGCTCCTCATTATCACTTTTGGAGATTTGAGAATGAGACCTATTGAATCAGATTCACTGCTTTATTAATTAAAGGTAAATAAGCTATGTTATGCTCTAGAATTGATGGCAGCAGTGGCCTGTCTGGAACAGCCGCTGCCATCACCCTGGCTGCAGTGAGGAGGTATGGCTGGGGCCGCACACTCCACAGAGCTGGCAGGAGCTGGGGACAAGTTAGAGCACTGCCCTTTCCTGGTTGATGGGGTAGGAACTCCCTTGGTGTATGTTCAGCTACCTAAGTTGTGTCTGTGGTCCTGGGCCATCCTGTGCCCTTGGGGGCCCAGGAGCAGGTAGGAGCACATCTACAGCTGCCGAAGTCATGGCTGTGGACCGGACCTCCTGCTCCAGGGAGCAGGCAAGTGCCCTGCCCTCCTGGGTATAGCTATAATCATCGAAGCTGCAGCTACAGAGCTGAGCATCTCTGCACTCTCAAGGCCGGGAAGGTTCCCCTGTCCCAGCAGGCTCGGAGGTGTCTGCTCCTGTTGCCTGCCTCTCCCCACTCCCAGTACCTGCTCTAATCTTGGAGCAAGGTTGGGGCCAAGCCTGGCAAGTATGCACACATCTCTAACAGTGCTGACATACTAGCCCCCTACTGTCCCAGTTCCCTCTAGACTTTGGGTACCAACAAGCATGGAAGGGAAGCTGAGAAGGGGCTAAGGACAGCTTGGTGCTGGCCTATAGGCAACCTTTGATATGAACAGCCTAGATGGCATGAATGGCAGCAAGAGGCAGACAGGTTCCTGGGTGAAAAAGGGTGGTTCCTGATGAGGCCCCACCTTCAGGGAAAGCCTGAAAGTGGGAGGTGGGCTGCCAGTCCCATGGACTGGAGTGGGAACTTATGGTGCTTTTTCTGGGCCCACCCATGGCTGCCCATGGACCAATCAGCATGCACACTCTCCTTTCTGAAGCTCATAAAAACTTTGGTCTCAGCCAGAGTTGAGCATATGTCAGGAGGACAAGCTACAAAGAGGAACTACCCACTCCAGGGCCTACTCTGAGCTATTGTGTCACTCAGTGAAGCTCCTCTTTGCTTTGCTCACCCTCCACTTGTCCACATACCTCATTCTTCCTGGATGCAGGACAAGAACTCAGAACCCACCAAATGGTCCTGAAAGAGCTGTAACACAAACAGGGCTGAAACAGGTCCCTGGCTCACCACATTGCAGGTGAAGAGGAGAGAAGAGCTGTGGCCCTTCAGGGAGCCCAGACCTGGGAGCTCCCCAAGCCCTCTTTGGAGCTCTGCAGTTCCTGGAGTCTCCAAGCTTCTGGGCAACACCATGTTCCCCAGTGGCAGCCATGGAAGCTACTTGCAGTGTGCCTGGTCCAGCTGCAGCTTTGCAGAGAGCTGGCACCTGTGCCAGCATCTGGAGCTGCCCATCCTGCTGCAGCAGCCAGTGTGCCTTACTGTGTGCGGTGGCTGGGCCCCATGCTTGCTCTCTCACACCCTTCTCCCCTCCAAACCTGGCTCACCTGTGGTAGGCATGGGATCCAGGCAGAGCATGAGCTGAGTGCAGCCTGCCAGGCCAAGTGGGCAGAGTAAGCTTGGGAGCCTGAGGAAAACTCAAGCAAAGGCACCACCAGCCACAAAAGTGACACCCCAAAGATTCTGTAACAGAATCACTGTACTTTATGCCTGATTCCTTTTTTGCTATCCTTTAGCAAAGTTCATTTATCACTTTAGCAAAGAATATTCTGACAGGGCTGAAAGAAAGCAAGGTGAAGGCTATGCATCCACACTTGTGCCACAGTCACGAAGAGAGAAGAGTAGTGGTGGGTGGCAAGGATCGATATTGCTAATCACTAAGGGAATCTAGGGAAAGGAGGATCCAAGAGATGCACGTGTATACCTGAACACTACTGTCCAGAGTTAGGTTCTCCTAGAATCAACCTTAGTGTTCTTGGACTATTTTTATCAAGGTAGATAGCTGTGTATCTGACATGTGACTCCTAGCAGCACAGGTGTGAAAATGCCACTGCCCTGTCCACGATTCCAGTTGTGTTACTTAGCAAGCACTTCGGACTTGGACTTCATTACAGCACATATTTTCATTTTAAACTATTTTCATGCTGCTGCAGACATTAGCCTCCCTTTCCCTCTGTTTTCTATACTGCAAAAGAAATGATGTTATATTTCAGGTTTGGTAGAAATCATGGGAAAAAATTTAAAACTTCGCTGGCTCTTGCTAGTGACAGATAAATAAGTAAATCCACATTTCTCAGTATGATTACAGTGTAATTATGATTTTCCATGTACTTAAAATCTATTTTCTACCTCACATTTATGCCCTATTCATTCAAAAACATTTATTGAGCATGTACTGAGTGCTAGGCACTGTGCTGGGTGTCGGAGATAGCAATGTGACTAACCATCATTGTCCTCTAAGAACTCATGGCCCAATGAGAGAGACAGCCATGTAGACAGACAATGTAATTTGTGTGTGTGATATAAGCAGAGTCAAGGAAGCACTGAGAGGGCACCTAATGGGAGGGAAGGGTGTGGTCAGCACATGCACCCTCCAGGAAATGACTACTAAACTGAGTCAGAAAGAATCCTTTGCCCTTGGCCACAGGGGAAGTGGGGGTAAAGGAGGTAAGGAGAGTACTCTGGCTAGGGAGAGGCCTTCAGCAAGGATTTGAGAAGTGAGGAAAGTGTGCTATATGGAGAACTAAAAATAGTTCATTGTTGCTGGGCTTTAAGGTTTGAGGCAGAAATGACAAAGGATAAAGCTAGAGAGATGGGCAGCTACCAGATTTTGAGTGATCTTGTGTTGTGATAGGCAATTTGAACTTTGGTTATCAGGAACATGGGAAGGTCTTAAGCAAGTAGTGGTATGATCAGATTTTAATTTTGGGTCCAGTCCTGTATGGAGGATGGATCTGAAAAGGTCAGGACTAGAGGTGAGAATAACCTATTTGGAAGTTATTGAAAGCAGGTTATGTAGGTAATCCTGGAAAGAATATCTGGAGCAAAGATTTTAGGAATAAAGAGAAGAGCATTAATTGGAGAGATGTTTAACAGGTAAAATCTATAGGACTTGGTGGTGAATTCAGTTTTGATTATGATGTGGATGATTCCCAAGCTTCTGACTTGGGCAACTGATATGGTTAGCCTTTATGTCCCCACCCAAGTCTAATCTTGAATTATAATCCCCAGGTGTTGATGGAGAGACATAGGAGGTGATTGGATCATAGGGACAGTTCCCTCCATGTTGTTCTCGTAATAGTGAGTTCTCAGAACAGCTGATGTGCTTATAAGTGTTTGATAGTTCCTCTCTTGCTTGCTGCTTCTCTCTCCTGCCACCCTCTGAAGAGATGCCTTCTTCCATAATTGTAAGTTTCCTGTGGCCTCCCTAGCAATGCAGAACTGAATCAATTTAACCTTCTTTCTTTATGAATTGCCCAGTCTCAGGTAGTATCTTTAGAGCAGTGTGAGAAGGAATTGATTCAGTGACCTTATGACAGTGGCATGATCAACTGTATTTCATGGAACTGTCTAGAACCCTGGATACTTCACGAAGCTAAATATGATATCTAGAATTGCCTTTTTTACCATTTTACCTTTGTTCAATTTATGTTGGAGACAAAACGATTTAAAAAATAAAGGCCAGGCACAGTGGTTCACGCCTGTAATCCCAGGACTTTGGGAGTCTGAGGCAGGTGGATCACCTGAGGTCAGGAGTTTGAGACTAGCCTGGCCAACATGGCAAAACCCTGTCTCTACTAAAAATACAAAAATTAGCCAGGTGTGGTGGTGCATACCTGTAATCCCAGCTACCAGGGAGGCAGAGGCAGGAGAATTGCTTAGAACCCAGGAGGCAGAGGTTGCAGTGAGCCAAGATCACGCCATTGCACTCCAACTTGGGTGACAGGGTGAGACTCTGTCTCATAAAGAAATAAATACATTTATTTTATATTTCAACCATGTCTTATAATTAAACATTTACTGTCCTTATTGGCCTTCTCCTACTTCAAGATGGACCTATAAGAAAAATGTGCCTAAGAATATATTTACAGTAAGATGCCCTACATAATTAACTTGTCATTGCCTGAAGTTACTGAGGAAAATTACACTATGTCAGCAACGAACTTCAGACATTTGAATTGGCTTTATGGTCAGATATTATCCATGGCTCTCTGTTCCTTATTCTGCCTCAGCAATCCAAATGATCAGACACTCTCAGCAGACACACTAGTGGGTTATAAATATACATGAGGGAAAAACAACTTCAAGTCATAAATGCTTTATTTTAAAATGAATACAGATTTTAAAAATTTAATAAACTTTGGGAATTACTACTAATAGATGGGGAATTGTTTAGAAACCAACTAATTGTGGTGTATACACTAGAAAGAGAAGTATTTTTGGAATGAAAAAATTAACCTATGCTAACATGATATTTAAAAGACACGGATATAATGCAAATGATCTGTGTGGATATTTGAAGATTTCATTTACATAGAATTATTCATTTGCTGAGGGAACCAGCTCTCTATTGTTGATATAACTATTGCCTATGGACAGGAAAGGTCTGCTCAAGTAGGTCTTGTGCATGAGTGACAGAAGGAATTAGAAAAATCATTTAAAAAGCAACAATGCTACTTTTTAGTATTATAGAAGAGAAGGATGAGTGCTTTTTGCTTTATATTGTTACCTAAGGAATTTTAGGAGTAGAATTGGTTTTCTACATTTTTATAAAAATGTCTTTACTGTAGGGGAAGTGAGGAGGAGTTTGTAAATATTTGTGTTCCTTTGTCTGTTATGTTTGTCTCTAAATTTGCCTAGATTTACTTCACATTGGAGTAACTGCCAAATAGGATGTTTCTTCATCTTTGTTTTAGAATAAGGAAATCTTTTGAGTAAAAATAATAATAGCACAAGCTAAAATTTTTTTTAATGTTGTATTTTTAATTTTTGTGGGTACATAGTAGATGTATATAGTTACGGGTTCCATGAGATATTTTGATACAGGCTTACAATGCATAATAATTACATCATGGTGCATGGGTTTCTGTCCCCTCAAGTATTTACCTTTTGTTACAAACAATCCAAGTACACTCCTAGTTATTTCAAAATGTGCAATTATATTTTTACTATAGTCAACCTGTTGTACTAGCACATACTAGCTCTTATTCATTCTTTCTATTGTTTTTGTACCCATTAATCATACCCACTTCTCCACCACTCCCTGCTACTACCCTTCCCAGCCTCTGGTAACCATCATTATACTGTCTATCTCCATGACTTCAGTTGTTTTAAATTTTTAGTTCCCACAAGTAAGTAAGAACATGTGAAGTTTGTCTTTCTGTGCCTGGCTTATTTCACTTAATGACCTCCATTTTCATCCATGTTGTTGCAAATGACAGGATCTCATTCTTTTTATGGCTGAACAGTACTCCATTGTGTATACATGCTACATTTTCTTTATCTAGTCATTCACTGATGGACACTTAGGTTTCTTCCAAGTCTTGGCTATTGTGAACAGAGTTGCAACAAACATGGGAGTGCACACATCTCTTCAGTACACCGATTTTCTTTCTTTTGGCTGTGTACCCAGCAGTGGGATTCTGGATCATATGATAGGTCCATTTTTAGTTCTTTGAGGAACCTCCAAACTGTTCTCCATAGTGGTTGTACTAATTTAGATTCTCACATACTAACAGTATGCGAGAGTTCTCTTTTCTCCACAGCCTCACCAGCATTTGTTATAGCCTGTCTTTTGGATAAAAGCCATTTTAACAGGGGTGAGATGATATCTCATTGAAGTTTTGATTTGCATTTTTACGATGATCATTGATGTTAAGCATCTTTTGCTATGCCTGTCTGCCATTTGTATGTCTTCTTTTGAGACATGTCTATTCAGCTATTTGCCCATTTTTAAATCAGATTGTTAGACTTTAGAGTTGTTCGAGCTCCTTATGTATTCTGGTTATAAATCCTTTCTCAGATGGTAGTTTGCAAATATTTTCTCCCATTCTGTGGCTTGTCCCTTCAATTTATTTCTTGTTTCCTTTGCTGTACAGAAGCTTTTTTACTTGACGTGATCCCATTTGTTCATTTTTGCTTTGGTTGCCTGTGCTTGTAGGTATTACTTAAGAAATCTTTGTCCACTCTAATGTCCCAGATACTGTCTTTTAATGGTTTCATAGTTTAAGGTCTTAATTTAGGTATTTAATCCATTTTGATTTGATTTTTTTATATAGCATGAGATAGGGATCTTGTTTCATTCTTCTGCATATGGATATTCACTTTTCCTAGCATATTCTTGGAACCATTGTCAAAAGTGAGTTTACTGTAGATGTATGGATTTATTTCTGGGTTCCCGATTCTGTTCCACTGGTCTGTGTGTCTGTTTTTATGCCAGTACCATACCATTTTAGTTACTATAGTTCTGTAGTGTAATTAGAAGTCAGGTAATGTGATTCCTCCAGTTTTATTCTTTTTGCTTAGGCTAGCTTTTGTAATTCAGGGTGTTTTGTGGTTCCACATAAATTTTAGGATTGTTTTTTCTATTTCTGTGAAAATTGTCATTGATATTTTGATAGGGATTGCATTGAATCTGCAGATCACTTTGGGTAATATGGACATGTTAACAATATTAATTTTTCCAATCCATGAACATGTAATATCTTTCCATTTTTTGTGTTATTTTCAATTTCTTGTACCAGTGGTTTATAGTTTTCATTGAAGAGATCTTTCACTTCTTTGGTTAAGCTAATTCGGAGGTATTTTATTTTATTTGTAGCTATTGTAAATGGCATTGTTTTATTGATTTCTTTTTCAGATTGTTCACTGTTGGCATATCGAAATGCTACTGCACACTACAGAGCAGTGAGCTCCCCTCTGGCCTAGGGCAGGTCCAGAAATGCCATTTAAGAGCCAAGGCCTGGAACTAGGGACCCAAAGAGTCTGCTTGGTGCTATATTCCACTGTCACTGAGCTACTACCTGAAGCCAGCAAATCTCTGAGTCTCACCCAAGGCCCATGGCATAATACCTGGGTATCAGTGCTGGTTGTTTAGGGCCTAAGGGCTCTTTAGGCAGAATCTAATGGATCCTGCCAGGACTGGGTCCTTCCCTTTAAGGCAGTGGGTTCCCTTCAGGCCCAAGTTGTGTGTCTAGAAATGTTTTCTGGGAGCTAGGGCCTGGAATGGTGCCTCACAACCCTGACCAGTGCCCTGTCCTACTATGGCTGATCTGGTATCAAAGATGAAAGACAAAGTAATCTTTACTCTTTCCTCTCCTCTTTAGCAAAAGGAAGGAGACTCTTTTGGAGCTATGATTGTGCTGCCTGGGTTGGGGGAGGGATAATGAAAGCACTCCCTTAGCCACCCTACTTGGTGTCTCAGTAGGTTGTGTGCCCTGCTCCCCTTACACTGGCTCCAAGCCCAGCTCAGCACTGGGACATGCCTAAGAATTGCAGTCTTTGTGGTCTAGACTGCCCCTCAGTCAAGGCTTCAGAGCACTTCAGCTTGTGATGACAAGGCTTGTTGGAACTCAAGCTCTCACCACTGGGATAAGTGATTCCCCTCTGGCTAAGGCCAGTCCATATGTTCCCTCTGTGGGTGGATGTCAGCTGACTGCCCTGGAGTTCTGCCCTCTGCTGTTAGGGCAGCACTGAGTTCAGTGCAAAGTCTCACAATCATTACACTCTCCCTCTCCCAAGTACCAGATTCTCTGTGCCATGCAGCCACTGCCAGGGGAAGGGATTGGGGAGGGCTGGTATCAGTAATTTAAGACTGTCTTTCCTCTTCTTTTCAGTGCCTCTTTCGGCAATATGAAGTCAAATAATTCTGGATCATATGATAGGTCCATTTTTAGGCACTGTGAGTGCTCACCTGATTGTTGGTGAAAAGTGCAATTACTTTTGCACCAACTTAAAATAGGAAGGTGCTTCGTTTGTGTAGATAGTTGTCAAATTGGTGCTCATGCAGAGGAGGACGATTGGTGAAGCCCTGTATTCAGCAGTCTTGCTCTGCTCCTCAACTAAAATTTACTGATTGCTTTCTGTGTGCCAGGCCATGTGCTAAGCATTTTATAAGCAAAGGGATTAGAAGAGTTAACTGACGAGTTCATAGTCATGTGTCTAATAAGTCATTAAATCAGAGTTAGGAATTTTGCTTTTAAGCACTTCTGGAGCTGTTTGTAACCGAGACTAAAGTCTGAAGCAGTCTTGACCTTGGATTATAGACACTGGATTATGGTCTTATGCATGCGTTCAAGAGTCTGGTTGCTCAGTCATGGGGAGATTCAGCAGTCTTGAGAATAGTAGGGAAAGAGTATAATCTGGTTCAGTATTTTTTTAAAAGTCCAGGAAATTTATGACACTAAATACATGCATTTGAAAAAAGGAAGAATCTCAAATCAATAATCTAAACAGCTACTTCAAGAAACTAGAAAAAAAGAGATAAGTAAACCCAAAGCAAGCAGAAGGAAGTAATAAAGATAAAAGCAGAAAGTTAATGAAATTGAAGAAAGAAAAACAATAGAAAAATCAGTGAAACAAAAAACCTTCCCGTTTCAAAAATCAGTAAATCTCTAGAAATGTTGACAAATAAATAAAGAAACAAAAGACACAAATTACAAATATCAGGAATTAAACTGAAGATACCATTACAGACCCTGCAGACATGGAAAGGATAATAAAGGACTACGCCAAACAACTCTACACACAGAGATTTGGCAACTTGCATGAAGCAGACCAATTATCTGAAAGAGAATCAACTGTTCCAACTCACCACATATGAAATAGGTAATTGGAATAGTCCTATAACTACTAAAGAAACTGAATTGATAGCTTAAAATCTCAAAAAGAAATCTCAAGACCCATACGGTCTCACTGGAGAATTCTACCAAACCTGTAAAGAAGTCTAACATTAATTTTACATAATCTTTTCCAGAAAAATTTTAAAAATAGAAAAGAAGGTCCCAATTTATTCTTTGACGTTTGATATTAATCTAACATCAAAACCAGATGATTACAGTACATAAAAACTATACACCAATATCTCTCATAAGTATAGATACAAAAATTCTTAACAAAACATTATAGATAGAATTCAGCAATATATAAAAAAGAATTATACACCATAAAACAAGTGGGCTTTATTCCACAGATGCAGGCTATTTGAATATTTATAAATCAATCAACATATTCCATCACATGAAAGTCTAGAAAAAAAATTACATTATCACATTAAGTGATGCAGAAAACTAATTAGATAAAATTCATACCAATTAACAATGAAAGTTCTCAAAAAACTTAGTAGAGAGCTTCCTCAGTTTGAAAAAGAACATCTAGAAAGATACACAACATCATACTTACTGGTGAAAGACTGAATGCTTTCTGTTGAAGAACAAGAACAAGACGAGGGTGTACCTTCACCAGTGCTATTTAACAGAGGACTAGATGGTCTAGCCTGTGTAAAAAGACAAGAAAAGGAAATAAAAGGCACATGTCACTTGTAGGTGACATAATGATGTATGTAGTAAATGCCAAGAAAAGTACACAAGAACTGAGTTCAGCAAGGTTGCAGGGTATTAAAAAAAACAAAAATAAATTGTATTTTTATATATTATCAATTAACTCATAGGAACAAATAAAAACTACAATACTATTTACAGTCACTCAAAAAATAAAACAGGAATGTTTAGCTGTAAATCTAACAAAACGTGTACAAGACTTACATGCTGAAATACAAAGTGCTGATAAAAATATTAAGTGAGATTTCTAAATAAATACATATTCTGTGTGCAAGGATTGGAAAAGTCAACATTGTCCCGACAGTAGTTCTTCCCAAATTGGCATACAAGTTGGAAGCAATTCCTATCAAAATCTCAAGCACACGTCAATAGATTCAGACAAGATTATTCTAAAATTTATATGGAAAGGCAAACAAACTAGAATAGCTAAAATAATTCTGGGAAAAAAGTGGAAGGAATCATTCTACCTGATTTCAGGACTTACTGCCTAGTTACACTAATCAGACTGGATGATATTGTTGGAAGCATAGGTATATAGATCAATGGAGAACTCAGAAATAGCTTCATCCAAGTACAATGAACTAATTTTTTACAAAGGTGAAAAAGCAATTCAATGAAGGAAAGATAGTCTTTTTAAACAAATAGTGCTTGAGCAATTAGATACAAGAAAAATGAACCCCAGTGTAAGTAACTTAAAATAAATTACAGAATGTAATACTATATAATTTTTAGAAGATAGCATATGAGAAAATATAGGGATTGGTAAAGTTCTTGGAAATGACACCAAAAGCACAATGCATAAAAGAAAAAAGTGATAAATTGGACTTCTGCAAAATTAAAACTTTTGCCTTGAGGAAGACTAAGAAGATGACGATACAAGCTACAAACTGGGATAAAATGTTCCCAAACCACATATCCGTCAATGGATCCGTATCTCGTATATAAAAAGAACTCTCAAAACTCACTCAACATTTTAAAAATTAAAATGGGCACATTTTTAAATGGGCAAAAGACATGAAAAGACATTTTACTGAAGAGGATACCTAGGTGACAAATAAGTACAGGTATATGAAAAGATGGTCCAGATGTCAGACCACAATAAGATACCACCACGTGCCTATTAGAAAGTCTAAAATAAAAAATAGTGACAATACCAGTGTTGATGAGGATATGAAAAAACTGGATCTCTCATACACTGCTGGTAGGAATATAAACTGGTACCACTCTGGAAGACTCTTTAGCAGTTTCTTAAAAAACTAAACATACACTTATTTATGTCCCAACATTCACAGTTCTGGGCATTTATCCTAGAGAAAATACAAACTTATGTTCACATAACAACCTATACACTAATTGTTCATTGCAGCTTTGCTGTAATAGCCAAACACTGAAAGCAACCGAAATGACCCTCAAGAGAGGAATGGCTGAATAAACTGTGATACTCTTGTATGTCCATACCATGCAGTAATACTCAGTAATGAAAAGGCACTGACTATGGATACATGTTAAAACTTGGATGAATGTCAGAGGCATCATGTTAAGTGAAAAACGCCAATCTAAAAAATTGTATTTTGTATGGTTCCTTTTATATAACATTTTTTAAATGACAAAATTATATAGGTGGGAAACATTGCGGGTGATGAAGGGTTAGGGGTGGTATGGGAAAGGCAGTGCATATAACTATAAAGTGGTAGCAATAGGGAGACCTTTGTGGTGATAGAACAGTCTATCTTGCTTGCGGTGGTTGTTACAAATCTACAGAAGTCCTAAGACAGGATGGAACTAACATAGTCCTCCTTATCCACAGTTTCATTTTCCATGATTTCATTTACCAACTGTCAACCACAGTTCAAAAATATTCAGTAAAAAATTCTAGAAATAAACAATTCATAAGTTTTAAATTGTGCAGCATTCTGAGTAGCAGGATGAAATCTGGCACCTACCTGCTTTGTCCTCACATCCCAGCATGTGAGTCATCCCTTTATCCAGAATACCCACATTGTAGGCATTCCATGCCCGTTAGCCACTCAGTAGCCTTCTTGGCTATCAGATTAACTGTTGAGGTATGACAGTGTATGTTCCAGTGACCTTTCTTTTACTTACTAATGGCCCCAAAGTGCAACAATACTGATGCTGGCCATTCAGATATGCTAAAGAGAAGCTGTGAAGTGCTTCCTTTAAGTGAAAAAATGAAAGTTTCCAACTTAAAGAAAGAAAAAAAATAGGCTGAGATTGCTAAGATCTAAGGTAGGAATGATCTTTGATCTGTGCAATTGTGAAGAAAGAAAAATTCCTGTTAGTTTTGCCATTGCACCAAAAACTACAAAAGTTATGGCCACAGTGTGTGATAAGTGCTTAGTTAAGATGGAAAGGGTATTACATTTCTCAGTGGAAGACATAAACGAACATGTTTTTATCGATAATGCTGAAGTCAAAACATAGAGATGAATCTCTAAATTTAAAACCCTTTATTTGGGAAGCAAGAATTGCAATTCTGGCCACACACAGAGAACATTTTATTTCAGTCCTCAGTCTTTAGTATGTCTGAAGAACAAACAAGGTTGGAAGTTTGAGAAATGTTATGTATTACTCTGAAAGTTCATTGGCATCAGAAAGTTTGGTGAGTGATAGTAGTGGGTAAAACTGGTCTTAGAGTTGCAGCAGCTTGTTTCAGTAGTTAGTAGATAAAACCGATTTCAGATTACACAGCAATTTCTGAGGCCAGCCTTGCGGAGAATTACATTCTTAGTGCAATGTTACTATATTATGTGCTCTGAGTGCTTTTTCCCCCTGGACTCTCAACTTTGTTTTAGTTGAATATGAAAATGACCCAATTTGTATGACTACCTTTCACATTTCCCTTTTCTGATCAAGACTTTTCTCTGAAAACATCAGGGATCAACCATTGTGTAGTAAGGCTTAATTGTTCCTCAGTGACGGGATCAACCTATCTAATATGTCTACGTATTAGATTTCTGTGAATTTATGTAATTTTTTAAATGTGATCATCAACAACATCCCCATAAATATAACTAAAAGATCTAGTATCACTTATTTGACAATGTTTCCTACACAGTTTACCAAATAAGCCTAACTAATATCTCTACAAGATGAAATATATCTTTGGAGGCTTTTCACAGGCTCATCTGAAAAATCCTAAAATTAATTCTAGGTCAAAAAGGTTTAATTTAGGATTTGATTTTAGGTAAATTTTTCAAAGATGTTAAAATACTCAAACCACTTGATCAAAACACAATAACAGGTCACCGTAAAATAATAGTCATTTATTTAAAAAGAATGATAGTCAAAAGACTCCAGAAAGTGACATAGACATAAAAACCTTACCCCTTTTAAAGCTTAGTTTTCCTAAGTAATCAAAAATCTAATAAAGGCGACATAGAAAGTTATCTTGACAAAATGTAAAATCTTTGTTTCTTGGAACATCTACCAAAAAGGCAAAGAAAAACCTTCGGCAGGGTGATTGCTTCTCCTTATGGAAGCTCATTAAGATAATCTGGACACCGAGCCTGATGCCAAAGGTTATTTAAATTTAATCAGACATCTGAAGACTATGTCCAAACTTATAACAATTCATATACATCAAGAAAAGCTAAGAGTACAGAATCAAGTTATACTGAAGGAAAATACTGCTTTTTAGGCCTTTTAGATAAATGTTTCAGTCTCAGGCCAAAAAAGCAGAGTTAGAACTGGAAAAAAAAGTTCTAGGAACTGATAACAAAGTTGGAGAAGAGCACTGTTACCCCAGGCCTTCACAAGGGGAAGAAAAGGTGAGGGCAGGGATGTGGGACCTGCAAGTCAAGGTAGCGACATACAGTAAAAGTTGAATCTCTGAGATGTGAATCTGAGAAATTTCAAAAGGAAACTTTACCTCAGGAAATGCAATTACCATTTTCAATGAAAAGTACAACATTTTAAAACTGAAACTAGAGAAATTAAACAGATCTTAGGAAGAAATGGCAGCAACAAAAATTGTGCAGTTCAGAACACGGGTATTAGACAGATTTTAGAATTAAAAATCTAAACCTCTTGCAGTTTTATTAAGAACAGATCAGTACTTCAGGAAATCCTTGTTATGTTAAATATAGAGGACTACTCTGGTCCTGTGTCAGCAACTCCTGAGACCAGTGTTTAATTTTTAGAAAAACACATAAACAATTTCTTTCTAAATCCTAGCCAATCCGATCACACATAAAACTTCCTTCATAAAGCCCATCTTCTATAAATCCTTTTCAACTTTTTAGAACTTCCATTATTTTCCCAAACTCCCATTCTTAGTCCTATAATTTTTCTGTTTGTAAATTTTGGAAAAAGTAATCATTTTATCTCAGGACAAAAATTTACCACTGAAGATTTTTTTCTCATACAAAATTATTTTTCCCTAAATTCATATTTTGATCAATAGACCTAACCATATTTAGTATTTTATAAAATTTAAGAAGCCAAGAAAGAAACTTTTAAGTAGTTAGCAATTTGTTTCTATTTTGGATATAACTTAGTCATTTAATGAGTATTTATTACTTTATATAACTTTAAAAGTTTAAATTACATAAAAATTTCATTTATAATTGTTTATTTCATCTTTAATTACCTAATTTAAGTAATTATACCTATATTACTTATGGAAAATTAAAAGATTAGAGCTAGTCACTATTTTAAGTTGTTTTTTATTACAATTCCCATAGCCTGTTAATATCAAGTGTTTACCTATGGTAGAACCTTAAAGTTTAATATATGGTTATCCTCTTGGTAACTCAGAAAATACAGCTGTTTTTATTAAATCAACAATATTAAATTAATCTTATCCATCAAAGAATTGCATACACAAACCTTATTTTGTTTTAGGCTGGGTTTACAGCTTTATAACCTTGAGAACTCTAGCAGAGACAAATATAAAACTGACCAGTAAACCCAGGCAAATATTTATGTTGACAATTTTGAACACTTTTCTAATTTTATCAACAATTTAAAAACAAATTATCAATGATTTGCTTAAGTAAGGCAAAGTAAAAAAATTTGAGATTGTTACATGTTTTATATGAGTACGTATGTTATCTACATAGAATTCCTTAAGGGATTTCCGGCTGACTGTACCAGATTTTATCATGTAGATGCAACAGATCATGTAATACATGTACATATGCATAAGCTTACCTAAACACATACATATACATTTAAAGATCTTTCAGATTTTATTTTAGAATTGTAGTTACGAGATAGTGAAACATATACACTCACTAGTTTCTTAAAAATCAGTTGAATTGAAATTGTTTTCTGACAAAATGGGAGGCTAAGCTTTTAAGTTTTTTTGCAATCCTGTAAAAAAAGGCTATGAAACAAATTTTGAGTAAAGCAGTTTGAGGCAGTTACCAATATAGTGGATTTGATAAAAAAATAACTGCGGAAATATGTCTGAATTACATGATGAGGGGTAGAAGATAAGAGTTACCCTAACAAGGTCTGTACAGTGTTTTCTTGTTCCCAATTCTTTTGTCCTTGAAGATAAGAATGCTGCCATTCCTTATAGTATAGTGTTTTCCATGAGAATTTAATCTTTAGCTTTTAAGAAACAGCGCAAAGATCAAAACAATTTTATTTTATATCTGCTGTTTTCAGGTATTTTTACTTAAATAATTCATATGTAAGAATAACTTTTGGTGTTTTAGAAAAAAGAGAGTTTAGGTTACAAAAGTGTGAAGAGGAGGAATTGCAAGAAGGGGAGAGGAAGCTTCCAGAGAGGAAAGCCTCTCAGCTAGCTTTGAGACAGTATTTTGTAATTAGACAATCTTTGAGTGCTGATTTTTTTTTGGCCTCAAGGTATCAATTGAAATCTAAGTCTTATTTGTGGTATATGATTTTATAGCTGTGGTCTTTTAGTTTAAAGAACAATTGACTGTTTGAATGATCTCTGTAATGTTTAAACATGTTACCGGCTGGAGTTTAAAAAAATATCTTGCCATGCCTCTAAACTTTGAGAGCCCATTTGTAACTAAATTTTTCTAGGTGATTTGGTTTAATGTTAAATACACAAAGCCAATTAGATGCAAATGCTAAGAAAGGCCAAGTAAATGCAAGAACTGATAGAAAATAAAGCACATACTTACCAAGAAAGACGATAGCCTTCTCCAAATAAAGAGGAAAATTCCCTCATCCAAACCTCAAAGCCAAGATGAGTCAGCTTTGGAATCCCACCCCTTATATCCCAGTACGTCCAAGTCAAATACAATATGGAGGTGAATCTAAAACGTTTTATTTGGGAAGGAAGAATTGCAAGTCCAAGCATACACGGGTGGTCTTCGGTATGTCCAACGAACAAAGAGAAAGTTTGAGGTTTTATAAAAAGGAGACACATGTATTGTTCTGAAAGTTCACTAGCACTAGTAAAGTTTTGGGGAACATCAAGTTCTGATTAGTGAGTGTTGGTGATGGGTAAAACCTCTTATAGTAGAGGCAGGTTATTTCAGTAGCTATTAGATAAAACTGGTTTTGAGTTAACAGTAGGCAGTTTCTTTGGCTAGGGTTGCAGATAATTACATTCTTAGAGTTATATATGATGTTTCCTGAGTGCTCTTCCCCCCCTGGCCTCTTGCTTTTGTTTTAATTGGGCATGATAAAAATGACCCAATTTGTATGATCAACTTTCACAGTGGTAATCAGGTTTGGTACTATTGGTGAGTTCAGGCATCTCCTAGAGTCTTAGAACTATTCCCTGAGGATAAGGGGGGCTACTGCAGGAACATACATTGTACCAATGCCAGTTTCCTGGCTTTGATATTGTACTACAGTTACAAAAAGATGTAACCATTGGGGAAAACTGGGTGAAGGGTACACAGCACCTCTACTATATTTGCAACTTCCTGTGAACCTACAATTATTTCACAATTAAAAATTGGAAATCATTTCAACATTGTTTTTGTTGGTTAATGTGAAATAAAACATTTCTATATTATATAAGAACCACGACTGATTAGTATATTATAGTACAAATAATTTACCTTCTTAACACTACTTAATCTTTAGAAATATCTCTGAATAACAAAGTGTTACACGTGGAAATGTTTGCTTGACATGAAAAAGCAATGGATCATTTTGGAATACTTAAAAAAATATGTGTGTGGGTTTTTTTTTTTTTTTTTTTCTGGATAGGTATGCATTCCTATGGAGGAGATAAGCAGGGGGCAAGGGAGCTCACAGTCATCAGACACCTAGTATGCACAGAAGCCTTCTGAGGCCCTGGAAGGATGGATGACCCCACATGTGTGACCTCTCCTATTGTTTCTTTTGGAATTAACTAGCATTGCTCAAAAGGACTCAATAAAATATCAAATTTTAACATGCTGGAATTTTTTCTCTTTTTTTCCTCCTTCAAATATTTGTAGCTCTTTACATGTGGTATTTCCCTTGTGTCAGAAGGAAAAGAGGGTGCCCTTTGGGGAGGTTCTCTTCCAGACTCCTAGAAGACAACCTGCTTCACCTTAAACGTACATAGCCTGCACGTATGGCCTTGCCATGTAATTGGACAACCGCAAAGAAACTACTTCAGAGCCACAGAAATCATTCGGACACTTTTACTTTTTATGGAAAGGATGATTTCCCTGGAATTTTTTCCTGTGAGGATGAGGCATTCCAAAGCCCCAGCGAGGTCAGGCAAAGTTCGTCGTTTATTTTTGGCGGGCAGCGTATCTGCTTACCGAAGTGAGTTGCGAAACCGTTTTCTAGCGGGCACGAGGCTTTCATCTCTCCGGTGCCTGCGAACTGCTCCCCGAGACGCCCACTTAATGGACTTGGACACAGTTACCTTTGTTACAAATTAACTTCTGGGACTCAGGCTGCCCGATTCGCGGCCGAGGTCGCTGCCCTCACAAGAATGTACTCTGCACCGTGCCCATCGATGCCCGCTGGTGCCCCTCGCTCTCTCGCACGCTTAACCCACACAAGCGCCTCCGACCTCCCACCTCTGCCCTAGCCCTCTTTTGCCTCGCCCTTCCGCGCAGACTCCGTGGAGTCCCGTCGCGGCCTCCGCGCGCTGCGGCAGCCGGCATATTGTGATGGACACCTCCGGCAGCCAATTAACACCCGCACGCTGGGCGGGGCCACGCTTGGGCTGACGGAGGGTGGGGGGGCTCGGCCTTAGGCGGGGACTTTTGAGTGACAAGGATGCTGGCCAACCCTCGGAGGTCCTTCTATGGCGCCCCGCCCCTGAGCCGCCCCTGAGCCGCCCAGCCCTCAGTGCGACCGGCGCGGGGACTGTCCCGGGTGGAGCTGGCCGAGTCTCCCGTTCTGCTCCACCCGACGCTGCTGTGTGTGCTGGGCCTGGCTCGCGGCGAACAGAGATGGCCGAGCAGTCTGACGAGGCCGTGAAGTACTACACTCTCGAGGAGATTCAGAAGCACAACCACAGCAAGAGCACCTGGCTGATCCTGCACCACAAGGTGTACGATTTGACCAAATTTCTGGAAGAGGTGAGTTGGTGACGAGCGGTTGGGGCGCACGGAGCGCGGGCCGGGTTTGAGGGTTCCCTGGTATGACCTGTAGTTCGCAGCCCCGAGTCCGCACACATACGCCTGGGCGCGCCCCACGAGTTCGCTCACTTGCCTGTACACACCTGGGAGCTCTCCCTGAGTCCGCTCACCTGCGCGTGTACGCCCGGGAGCGCCCCTCCGAGTCCGCACACCTGCGCGTACACACCTGGGAGCGCCCGGGCGCGGCGGCACCCTCCCTGCGTGGGCCGAAGGCGCACTGGGCAGGAGCCGGCGCCCGGGTCCTGCGGCGGTGCCGGAGCGTCTTACCGGGAGAGCGGGCAGCTACGCCGGGGTTTGAAAGGACCCCTTTCACCGTTGAGTTAGAATAGAAGGGTGTCCATCCAGGACCGGCGGCATTCCCGGAGGGGCGGGCTGGAGACCACCCACCCCGAGAGCCGCGGATCCCACCTGAGGGGACCCCGAGTGCGGAGGTCGGATGTAGTCGGAGCCCTCGCTTCCCGTGGCACCCACGGGCCGACTTGCGGTTCATACACACTTGCGTTCGCGTTCACCTGGAGGAGACCAGGTGTTAATTAACCTCCACCAGTCACGCTTTGGCAGCCAGGTGCAGTGCTTGACTCCTGAGACCTGTGTGTGGCTCAAGCAAGTCCAGAGGACGAGGCCAGGTAGAGTAGCCCACGTTCTGCTTTGGGACTCGCCCCTAGCAGCTTTGGAAGGTGTAAAATGACGTGGTTAACTTAAAGCAAGATATTCCTTTGATAAGATTTTTGCTTTCGATTATAATTTTTGCCGCACACACTAAGGCGTTTGTGGTTATTGTCTTAGATCCTCTGGAAGTGTTTTCCCACTTTGTGGGTGTCTGAATCATAAATCTTAACACATACACACGCCCCTCTCCCAATAATGAGAAGGTTTAGTGATGGGAATTTTTTACATAGTGGGGAAGCAGGGAGACAGAAATAGAGGCCTGGTCTGAGCTGGATCACAGTTTACATCAGAGGACTTTGGTTTTACAGAAAATATTAAAATCAAAAGGCCTGTTTTAAAAAAATAAGGCTGGGCCAAGTACCTGGCTCACACCTGTAATCATAGCACTTTGGGAGGTGGAGGCAGGCGGATCACTTGAGTCTAGGAGTTCGAGACCAGCCCCTGACCAACATGGCGAAACGCCTAACCCCAAAAATTAGCTAGGTGTGGTGGCGCACACCTGTAGTCAGGAGAATCCCTTGAACATGGGAAGCGGAAGTTGCAGTGAGCCAAGATCACACCACTGCACTCCAGCCTGGGCAACACAGTGAGACCCTGTCTCTAAATAAATACAATTACATAAAAAATAAGGCTGTAGTTGATATTTATTGGTAAGATATTTCGTTTTTGTTTCCATTTAGTTAGGAGGGGCTTATGTTAGGGAATCAGCTGCCCTGCCCTCTCCCTCCTGCCCAGCTGTAGGTCCTGCCAGATGACATCCGTTGTCATTGATTCTAAATGTCTACCTACAACCCATGGTATATGTAATTGTGGAATTTTAAGATACAATGTGTGCTTTGTCTATTCATGTCTATAAAAAATAACATTTACAAGAGAATATTAGGATATTTCATATTATGAACTTTTTCTTTTCTTCTTGTTTACTCCTAAAGCGAGATTTTTTCAACCTTGGCACTGTTGGCATTTTGGGCCAGCTGATCTTTGTTGTGCTGTCTGTCCTGGTCATTGCAGGATGCTGAGCTGCCTCCCTGGCTTCTACTCACTAGATGACTGGATGACTGGTACCACCACCTCCCCTATTTTTTATTTTTATAGAGAATTTCACTCTTGTTGCCCAGGCTAGAGTGCAATGGTGCAGTCTTGGCTCACTGCAACCTCTGCCTCTTGGGTTCAAGCAATTCTTCTGCCTCAGCCTCCCAAGTAGCTGGGATTACAGGTGCCCACCAGCATGGCCAGCTAATTTTGTATTTTTAGTAGAGACAGGGTTTCACCATGTTGACCGTCTTGAACTCCTGACCTCTGGGGATCCACTCTCCTTGGCCTCTCAAAGTGCTGGGATTACAGTCGTGAGCCACCGCCTCCCCTATCTCCTACCAGCCCTACTTCTCCTATTTGTAGCAACCAGAAATGTCTCCAGATATTGTCAGAGGTCCCCTAGGGCATATATCTCTCCTACTTGAGAATTACTGAGGTTATTGTACATGACTTTTAGGGGTAGATTTTCAGAAGGAGGTAGTAAGGAAGAGAAGATTATTGGTGAAATGTACTAGAAACCATTCACTTTCACATTTCATTCCTGTGAGTCAGGAAAGGAGGGATTGTGCACAAAGTTTCTGAGAAAAGCTGAGAGATAAGAAGTTCTTGAGTGAGTAAATATCTGTGTCTCTTCCCTGCTTGCCCGGTCCTCTTTCCTGCCTTCTGTTGTTGAAAGGCTCCAGAATTTCATGAAGTCATTATGGGCTAGACTGTTTACTCTGAGTTCCCGCATCTGTATGGACAAGATTTCTCACAGCTGAATATTTCCCCTTCTTGTAGAGTATCCTAGATTGATGTACACGTCTGCGTTCACGTTGAGAAGGTATGTGGTGCGGTGGTGGCAGGATCCTGCCCTGCTGGCTGGTACAAGCCAAGAACACAGGTTGAAGCTCAGTTGTTGTGCAACCTGTGCTCCGACCTCCTGAAGTAAAGGCCCCTACAGCTGTTTTGTCCAGGAGGAGGGTAGAAACCTAAGAGGGAAGACTGGCTTATTATTAACGGCAGTCTACACAGCAGCAGGTGCTTAGTCACTGTCTGATACTTAAAAGATTTTGAGGTTTATTGCTACATATTTTGAACTAGATTTTGTTTTTCAATCCTGAGTTCTAGTTTTTGAGTTTATATTTGTGTAATTGAATCTTTGCTTGATCATAGAACTTCAAAGGACGGTTATTTGAAACGAAAACTTAGGCATTTAGGGCCGGGGGAAAATGTTTGCATTTCCCTTTCTGTGATTTGGGCAGCAGCATTTATTCAGTTTTTAAAAGAGCTGTGGAAGGGAGAGAAAAAGGTATCCTGTAATTAATAAGTTACATTAGCTGTTGCTTTTGGTTCAAGTCAGTGGGTGTTTGATTTGTGAAACAGATATTGTCCTGAAAAATTTTATAAAGCAGGATGTCTTTTTGTCAAGTTGCCTCCTCTCCCTTTACATCATAAAAACGGAGGCCGGGCGTGGTGGCTCACACCTGTAATCCCAGCACTTTGGAAGGCCAAGGCGGGTGGATCACGAGGTCAAGAGATTGAGACCATCCTGGTCAACATGGTGAAACCCCGTCTCTACTAAAAATACAAAAAATTAGCTGGGCATGGTGGCGCATGCCTATAATCCCAGCTACTTAGGAGGCTGAGGCAGGAGAATTGCCTGAACCCAGGAGGCGGAGGTTGCGGTGAGCAGAGATTGTGCCATTGCACTCCAGCCTGGGTAACAAGAGCGAAACTCCGTCTCAAAAAAAAAAAAAAAAAAAAAAAAAGGAAACTTGTTTTTATGGAGCATTTTCTGGTGATCCTGGGATTCTGATAGTCTTGGACCTGAGCCTTACATGTTCTTTACAGCATTCTGCCTCATAGAAGCTATTGGCTCCTGACTCACTTAGATTTTTGGAGTCTTAAGAGTGTCCTTTCTAGCAGGTTTTGTTGTAGGGACTTGCTCTTTGCTATTTTCTGTTGAACATGGCTGCCTACATTGCGTAGACCTCTTTCCCCTTGTTAAAGCTGCCATATTTAGGGAGAAAATACTAAATGCCTTTGCTTTTTGCAAAAAAATTTGATTATATTCTGAATCTCATGCGACAGGCTGCAATTGGAAAATGTGTCTTTGATGTACGTAAATGGGAACATTATTATTATTTAATATATACTGTTAGGAAAATAAAACTTAGAAACTCTGAAGTTCACAGGAGGAAACCACAAAGGTATCGTTGGTAGTGTTGGTGGCTTAGGCATCTTGGGTAAAGTGATAGCAAAACCACATCGTAGAAGGCCACCTGGGGCATGTGAACCCTGGGTCTTTTATATATTTCTAGATATATCTCTTTATTTTTTGGTAACCTGTTGCTACTTTTGAAAAGAGGTTCCAAGAGGCGACTTCGTTTTGAAACAGTAAAGAAACAGCAAATTAACTTTTGCTTTTTGATTATCTTTAAGGTGGATGAAAATTATAAATAAGGAAGCGAAAACACAGGCAAGCCAGCTTTGGAAATCAAGGAATACATAAAACGCTCAATTCTACTAAACGTGAATGTCTGGTGTTCTGAAAAGTCCTCCTGTGGAAGATGGCTGATAAGTGCCTTTGCAGTTGAGTGGAGTCTGAACAACCGGGGTCCCTCTGGGCACTCATGGGAAAGCACTGCGCTGGGGTTAGGAAACTGGGCCTGGCTATAGACCTATCAAGTAGGTGACCTTGGGCAAGTCAAGTAGTTCTTTCAGTCACTTTCCTTGTTCTGAAGTGGGGACTACTCTGTCACTGGCATCTACATTGAGAGAAATAATATGTGTGAAAACACTGGAAAAAGTATGTAAAGAGAAGGCATTTAAATGACTATATTTCGATTGAATTAAAATTTTAAAGTAAATTGTTATGATTTTTATGCGGAAGGTACATTATTTAGTGGGAACATATCTCAGAAATTGTGTTAATTAGTAAACAAAATGATTCAAAATACAAATATTCACTTGAAATATGATTTTCCAGGAGTGTGTGCTTTGCATGATTGGAAATCATCCCATTTTGGGAGCTTTTAAACATAACTTTAAGGAGAAAATAATACATGATCATGTTAAGGAACTGGACAGTGTGAAAAACAGCCAAGAAGAAAATCCAAGCTGCCTGGAGCTCTGCTACCTGAAGGTGGCTGTGTGAGCAGTTTGCACACTTGCCACACAACACCCTGCTCGTGGATGTGCTTCCTAGCCATGGAAATGTGCTCTGCACGCTGCTCTGTAAGCTGCCGTTTTCC